ATATATATATATATATATATATATATATTCAATTCAAAAAGCAAAATTATGACACACACACACGCAGACCACACAACATGTACAAATGCATATATTATATACATGCAACATTTGCATTTATCACTCGCTACATATGTTAGCATATTGATCACCCACTGTGCACTATGCATTTCCATTATGCAGACATAGGCGTAATGGTTGCTCCGGTACACCAGGTTGCAGGGTATTTGTACTTGTATCCGCTTTCTATAATTAACTTTTATCTGATTATACCAAATGTTACGCGTAACATGACTTTGTACAGGAAACATATTCCCAGTTGTGCATCAAAATCTCAGGAATCTGATATGAGATTTTTACTTAGGTTAGTCATTTTTCCATACTGCATAGTCGTTCCCGTGAAAACCGTGGTAAACCTTACCATATCTTCATGTATGTTTGTCTATCTAACATCTACCTGAACGTATTATAAAAATAATATTGTTGCCTGATACCTCATTGTACATTACTGTTAGTTGCCAGATTATGCAGTCACAACGCGTCGTAACTGTATTATTTCACACACTGTGATTCAAAGTGATCGGCGGGACATGCGCCAGAGGATTGTTGGGAAGATGGCATCGGTCTGGTTTCCCGCACATAAAATATTGCACGATCTAATGAGTGCGCTGAGCAGGATCATTCTGAAAGATGACTTCCGAAGTTGTCCAAACAAAATGTGTGCTTATTCGTATCGGTAAAAAAGGAAATATTTTAATGTAGAAATAATGTCGACGTTGTAAAGATGTATAGCTCAGCTCATATTGTAAGATGTTGTGAATCAACCGATGATAATAAGTTTATGTGCAATGCCGGCATGTTGTAAGAACCTTTGGTTAACTTGGGGTCAATCTGTCCTAACTTCTCGGATTGTTGTAAACAAAACCCCACTATATAAAGATTTGGGATCATTGTTTACTGTTCAATAATCATTGTTTAGCAGTATTCATCAAATCACTGTTTAGCAATATTCATCTAATAAACTGTGCTATTGGATTCGTCATATTGGTTACAACTTCAAATCTCAACAAACTTTTCCTAGACGCAACTTCAAGAACAATCTACCAATCGATTTTACTCTCCTCCAATAATTGTCTTTTAACGAAAGCAAAGAATAATTCTCTGCTAATCAATAAAACCTCTAGCAAAAACATGTGCCGAACAGCATAAAAGACTTTATCGGCGTCTAAAGATCAAAAACTTCTACAACAATCCGAACCTACTCAAGCGCAAAATGTCAACCCTTCTCCTTCTTTTCCAGGAAAATGAAATGAGGTTTAGGTGATAGCAGATACAAAAAATTGAGGAAATCAGGACACACACGCATACACACTATAAGGTAACGACATGCAGAACTGGACTCTTCCGAGACTTATCCCGTTGTTGCAACAAAACTATTGCTGACCCTACCGTTATAACTAAGCATCATAGCCCCAACAAAAGCTTAATGAAGTCTCGAGATTCAACGAAAATTGGAATTCGAAAGCTTCAAAAGTGTGAGAATTGATTGGAGACATAAAGGAATAAGGTTTATAACGATTACGACAGCGACGCGTTGATTTCAGAAATAATGATAATATAAAAGAGGTCAAAACTTGTTCGGCTACACCGCGACCAAACAAGAAATCCGGTTTGGAAACGATTTGTGCCAACTAATTGAGTAAATGGTAACGACGATAATAACTGTTTCGTGCATCTGCTTCCATACTATCGTCCTTCCGGCCAGATGCCTTTGCTCTTTTTCTGTTAGCAATCAGCGAGGCAGTAAAATACTTGAATGAGGTATCCATGTTGTAATAATTTCATGATCCACTGTTCGCCGAAAGACTCCATATACCTTAGATCGTAAATTTTTTAAGCTCAAAAAATTTGGTGAAAGAATTTTGTGAAATTTGGTGAAAGAAAAATGCAACTCATTATTTCTCTAAAATTTATTGAATAATATCCTCCCATAAACATTTATTCCTTCCGCTTACACTGCAAAGGAAATCGAAAGCGATATAAAACATTTCATGTAGATTACAAAAAATATGAAAGCATTTCTGTTTACGAATACCTGCTGCTCGGAAGGCGAAAAAACTAAAATACCAACAAAATTCGGATTAATTCCCTGAACAATAATCCGGGTTAGTTGTCTAATTGGTTGGATTTCAGTAAACAAGTCATCATCGTCGTTATGAAAGAAGAAAAAAGTATACATATTCATGTAGAGGACCATAAGTAAAATATTAGTTTAAATCGATGAATTCTGGAGAAATCTCATTAGATAAAACACAGTATATACCGAGCCCAGCAAAAAGACGGCAAATGGTTTGCCTTTAGGAATGAAAAAGTTTGGGCAGGATAGACCGAAACATCGTCACTGTCCGTTCGGTTCGGCTACCTTTAACATTTCGTTTTAGCAATTTGCAAATGGAGCAAGCGAGAAATTGGTTTTTTTCCTTCCTTTTTTTTTTTTAATTTAAAGTCTATGAGAGTACAATAATACTTTAAAGTACACTAATACTTCTGCAGCATTTGCATACGTCATCAATGAAGCTTTTCCAAATCTTACCGATGTGATGAACTTTACGGAGTAAACAGATTTGGGTATGATCTGACAATATGCTATTTATTGCAAAATATATGCTGAACTTAGTACGACCACCTTTTAAATCTAATGAAGCTTGCCTTGAATTCTGAACTTGCAAGCAATTCAAAATCTCACTGCTTTGAAGGGAAGTGTCACGCATTTTCACATAACTTCAGGACAGAAATTAATCCAATGTCTTCAACAAATGATTTTTAACAAATTTCTCTTCCAGAAATTAACAAGAAAGCAGTGGAATTATGAAACTTCCAATAAATACAGCTGATAACTGTAGACTTATACTCAAGGTGAATGCATGTGGAAGAGGTTATATATCACTTACTTTATCCTTAGTGAGGTACATTGTAAAGATCTTGGAAACCAGTTAAGATTTGAAGTTCGGAATTCAGAAGTAACCCAAAGTTGGAATGATCTTGTTGATCTACACAAATACGATACGTCGCAAAAATGTTTATAATTAGAGAGGCACGAACTTGACATACTCAAGAGTGATAATAAAAGAAATAGGGAACCAGAGAGAATTATTAAAAAACTGAGCAATGAATGTGTATGGGGATTTTCATACTGCGGGGAAAGTAAAGAAATAAAACAAACTTTAAATTTTAACTTCATAAAACTGTTTGCAAAAAACTTCATACCAGATATCTCTATGAATCGAGAGTCAGTAGAAAGTGAAAGAAGACTAGGCGACAGTGATAACGCTCATAAACCGAATCGACGACAAACAGTAGTGTAGAAGAGCAAGAAGACTGACGATAAAATTGATAAGAAATGATTACTACCGAAAAATTCTATGATACAATTTGAAACAATAATAAAAACCAAAGTATAAGAGTTACTCAAAGTATAAAAGTTACTAATTTATAAACCTTTAGTATAAGAGTTACTCAAAGTATAAGAGTTACTAATTTATAAACCTTTATAAATTAACCAAGAAAGCTAAATAAAAGAAACTTGAGTACTTCAGAAACTTCGACTGAATTACTTAAGTCGAAAGACAATACTTTTTAAGAATGACATTTTGCAAAGAAATGTCCCAGTTCATCCTGCACAGTACGCACATATCCTTAAATTTTAGTGGGAAGTAGTGAGAATAAGAATTTTCTGCAAAGCAAAAATCAGTGGAGAAAACCCACCACAAAATCACAAAGCAAATTACAGAAAATTTCATGGTTCCAAATCGATCTATTTTAACAAAAACAGTTTATATGTATATACTTAAATAACATTTCGCGGTGGGATAGGCAATAGCAAATTATAGAAACATTCTCGTTTCCAGAAACTCGGCATTTTCCAATCGCACCAACCTCGCGTTATTACTGTATTTAAATCCTCATCACCGGAATAATGAGGATCCAGAACCAAAAACGACGACTCACCCGTTGTTTCATTAAAATCGACGCCTAAAATCGTATGAGCCAACATACCACCACCTAAAAAACTTTTAAGTTTCAAATGTAATTTTCTTCGTTTTGGAAATGAAGTAAAACAACACAGCACGATCAAATAATTTCGGCAAGTTGTAAAAACGAGCTGACTCAACGACTGACTATTACTTAAGGATTTTGCATGTTATTATAAATACTATACTAAAATGATTATTCGGAACTCAATATTTAATCCATTGTGGCAGAAATTACTTTAAAAATAAGATGCATTTTTCTATAAAACACGTTTGAAACATACCAATCATAACGGGTGTGCCAAACGTTTTAAAGTGAAGTGATAACTGACGAATATTTCCGGTCACTTCTGTGCCTGAATTTGTTGTAAGCACCCGTGATTCAATCCCAGCCATATTTTCCAAACAGTAACCAAGTTCTATAGATCCAATCCATTGTTGACTTCCCACAAATGTCGCGTCTTTATCGCCACAATCATACAAACTCTCAAGTTTCAATTCCCTTTAAAATTCAGACATACTCTGAATTTTAAAAATGAAGCAACGAACTACAGACTTCGCGAAAGTGGATCAATACTGTATCTTTTATGCATAAGTTAATGGTGCAATAAATTTTTAAATTTCGACAAATAAAAAGATAGTTACTTGTTGAATCTCACGATGCGTTGGAGTGGGTTTATCGATATAACCTTGAAGAACAAACCAAGACCATAATGTTTGAAAAGAACGATAAGCACATCCCCAGCCGGTATCATCTATTCCGTCCTTTAAAGTGCTGACGTTTAATAACGAAAGGATTAAGTTCAAAATCATATTTTTACAGAGCATATGAATTTAGAAAAAATGAACCTGCATGTAGTGGTGGTAGTTATAGGAGCCACTAATAAAATATACCTTTCCCTTTGGTTTATCTGTAAAGAATAAAGAATAACAATGTATAGAAAAAAAAAAAAATTGCAATTCCAATAATTGTTTCGTTAGAGGAGACACAAAAAAATCAACCTCTGTCTCTCAACCGCACAATTTCCTGCTATAAAGAAAAAAGCGAAATAAAGTTTAGCTTTAGAAACTGCATCATCCTCAATCAAATTGTGATAAATATTATTTGGAAATTTAAAAGTAAGTAATGCAAGTCACTGAAAAGAAAAGCAAACGGACACCTGAAAAAAAAATTAGAAACTGGAAAGGGATTCATTTATTTCGAAGGAAATGAATTCATCTGAAGAAAGAAATCGAAATGAAATTCTTACAAGATCTGATATGCAAATGAGGATTTTGCAACAATTTCTGCGTTCCAGGATTAAATTGAAGAGACTGAGTGGGCCGTAAGATCGGCTTATCAAATGGAAGATTGAAAATACGGTGAAGTTTTGCCCGATGATTTCCTTAAAATCAAGAAAGTTTCAAAAATAATAGTAGTAGTAAGGAAAGGACTGATAGATTCTTTTAACCGAAGTAAACTTGAATGATTCTTTTCAAAATGATCAAAAAACATACGCAACACCATATCATCTTGGATATGAGGATAAACCACCGACAATAATCCATCGTTCGTTGAAAACATACCGCATCTAATATTTATTAAACGCTGGAACAGCCTTTAGATCAATTCGTCGCAGTTAAAGAAATTTTAATCCTTAATACCTCACAAACTTTCCGAAATACATTGACAGAAGTTTAGCTGGTAACAACATCATGAACAAATAAAATGACGTACAGAAGTCGTCTGAGAGCTGAAAACAATTTCATAAAGAAATATAATTCACTTTGAAGATCAAAAACCAACTTCGGAATTAAAATTGACGAATTCACATAAACATCGTTCAGTGAGATATACTGTTCGTTTCAGAGCTTTTCGCAACAAAGTGAGAATTTCTGTTGGACCATCCCTGGACTGCACCTCAGCCACCGAAGTTATTTCGGCTCTCACGTTGCAAAATACAGCGAGGTCTATAACTAACTCTTTTCATTTTAATTGCAAATGTAAAACGTTACTTCAATTAGAAAATCTCCTCAAACTGAGCAGATCTGCCGAAGGTTACTTTTATGTTAATAAAAATAGAAATATCTCAGTATCTTCTCTATATTGGAAGACAATTTTTCTTTCACTTTAATAAGTGTAAATCTCAAAACCTTTCTTAATTTTCACAATTGGAACAAGTTTTGGTAAAGAGTCATCACAATTCTTCTTGATTGGTATCAGTGGCGTAAAATTCACAAATTTCTGCAATAGTTTCCCTGAACACAGAAATTGAATCATTAAAAAAAAGCATCAGAAATATCAAAAAATAGAATTTTAAAACTGCAAGACTTTAAAAAATCCAGAAAACTTCGAAGCAAATAACATACCCTTCCACTGGATAAACAACCACTTATTTGTAGCATTTCTCCGTTAACTTGCTTTGCACCGATCACTTTATTTCCACCCAAGACAAAGTTATTATTCGAAAATACGAAACACAAGGATTCAATATTATCTAGTTCAGCAAAGACAGCATTGTTTATTTCTTCAAGAAGATTCCCTTTCTCACTCATATTTATATTCATATTTAGCCACAGTGTTGTCCTGACCAATAAATCATAGCCAGGTTTTGTAGGAGACGGTCTGCAACATGTATAGTTAAACACGATATCCACAAATTATAATTTATCATCATATAATGCAAAAATAATACCGCAAAGCAATCTCTTTATTCAATTTTATGATACTATCGGCGTCTCGAGCTTTGAGTGATGTTGTATCTGCAAACAGTACCAGGAATCCTTCCCTGTCTTCTACGAATACAGCTAATGAATTCAAATCGAAAGGATACTCCACATTAACGAGGGATAAAACGCCAAGAAAAGTAATATCTGAAAGTGTGCAATTTATTGTCCAACCGATCATCGTTTCACCATGCGCTGCATTTTACAAAGGAACGCTATATCCGCAGACTACAATCTACAAGAAATTTAGTATCTAGAATAGCATCTAGAATTACCAATCAGTTCAAGATATCTTCAAATGACCTTTAAATTGTGGGACAGCTGTCAACTTATACAACTCAGATACCGCCTTTATTTATTCATATCTGTGAATAAATCTGCGAATCTAACTTAACTTCACCTTTTTGCGTTACACTTTTCAAACTTACTTGAAGGTAACGAACTTTCAATAAAGCGTATAAGGTCCAATGTAGCATCAAAATCTGATAAACAACCAAACAAAACGTTTGTTATATTCGCCAATGAAGCATTACCAAACAGGAGAGCAGCAACAGTACCATTTTCTTGATATCTACTGTTGTTTCTATAATTCTAAAATTAAAAACACTTCAAATATTAACATTAAACATTAAATGTACACCCCGCACAGATTCGAAATGAAGTGAATGGAAACTAGGTCCTATAATTCAATCCACTTCTTCAATCTCGATGAATCTAACTTAAAATAATCGTTGAGATCTGAAATTCTTAATGTAAACGACTAGACACACTTCTGTATCTTGACAGACTCGCTCGAAAAGAAGTAGGTATTACCTCAAACAAATGATCGAAATCGACTTTCCACATTTAATGTAGATCCTAATTTCGAAGAAATTCAGCTACACTGTATGATGGGACGAGAGGATATCTGAGCAAATGAAGCATTAAATTTAAGTTTAATACAACCTTTACATAGATCGAGTCGTTCCCTCCTTTTATATATACATGAATACCGGCTTAATTCATTACTTTAAAATCAGTATATGAGGATCAGCGAAGCTACTGTATGAAGTCAAATATCTTAATTACGCATTCGCAATATACAAAGCGTTCCTCACACACATAGGAGGTCTTCGGGTTCCTTAACTACCGCCAAAAACTGTCAAGAACTATAGAAAAAAGTATTCATCCTCGAGCGTATACTAATTTAGCGCCGGATTAATTCAACTTAAACAATGAGAATGCAGAGCACTTACTGTTCGCCTCAAAGCTTTTAGTTTAAACGCATAACTCCTACAACCAGTTACATCGCTAGCAACTGACACCAATATCAAGTCAACACACGCAGCTCCAGTGCCAAAAACGTAGCTTGTGTCATGATGGTATGCCAGAAACACCTACTCCAAGTAACATACCACCGCATTCTATTAATCTCCTGATTCTGATAACCCACGGTTAATAACAGGTACAAAAACTCAGTGTATTCACATAAAAAAGATTCGCAAATGTAGGTATCGGACTCCGCCTATTTACGATGACACTTTTGATGAGCAACAAGACATGATGCGAATAAGAAAATGTAATGCAAAAAAATGACAGAATTATCACAGCTACTGATTATAATAACCACTTTTTACCACACATAAGCTGAATACGTTAATCACACTGTAATAAACTATCCCACTGCACGAGCACTATAATAAGCAATGAATAGTACTTTTGTATAAGTAAAACATCCATTTGAATCACAGAAGTAAACATAAGCAAATTAAATCCTAGAAGACAAATAAACTTAAAACGTCTATCAATGAAACATGATAAAATACATTTCTCCTTTCACGATATTTTTGGATATTTGAATATTTCGCCTTTTATGTGACACAAATGTTAAAATTTCAGAAGAATTAAGTGATTAGATACAAGCAACGTCTTTGACTAAAATGGCTATACAAGTTGTAAACATTCGGGTTAAGGATTCTGCAAGAAGGGAGGGTCATTTATATTACTGTATGAAGCGGCTCTTTGGATATATTGTAGGATTGAGGGTGGGAAGAATTTCTACATCGATCAAGCAATGGAATGCATTAATATTATTACAATTGGACAACGTTAAACCCTACACCAATACTGATTATCTTATGAATCATCGAATTAATACAATTTCTATGAATGTAACTTCCATAATATAAAACGAACGACTACTACTAATATTACTTGGCAAATATTCACAGAAAAATGAGAAAAACGGATGGAAGTGAACCTTTATGGAAATATTACTGAGAACTTATCTCTTCATGCTAGTGAAATCGATATTTATCTTGAAAAAAACATATGGATAGTAGTCATGCATACCCAACGACATCAGTATTGGATTATCTTCGATAGCCTAAAAATCAAAATGTGGGGGATTTTTAAATCAGTCTGGAACTGTAACAGTAACAAATGTAATCCGTGGAAATTACCCAATTACTCAATGAAAAAAAACAAGAAAAAAAAACCTCAATGGGACCAGCAGCAGATGTATCCAAATGCAAATAAAGGTTATGAAGTGATGCTCGCAATTTCTTATGCGAATTCTTATTTGGTTCTATGACTGCTGCTTGGAAATTCACAGGTAGACCATATCTAAAAGATTAAATATCAGTAAATTAGAGGAAAAGATCAAACATCAGAAAAATTGACATCTGTAAAAAACAGATTTTCTTGTCAAAATAAATGAAATTCTAAAAACATATGAAAAATTTTGATCTGTCACCAAATTCTTATTGAAATAAAGGAGAGTTGTAACGAAATACTTCACTCCAGTTGAATAAATCTAATCTACAGCAAAACTGGCGGTATATGGGTGACCATTTTTAATCTTTTCGTAATCGGAAAACTGGCCTCAAGCTATTTACCTGAGAACACTTTCAACAAATACTCGCAGTGCTTTTATATGAACAAAGGCAGAGAAAATCTCGCCAAAATTGATTTTCAGCCATCGAACAAGTGGAGCATACTGACGCTGCTTCTCCTGTACCAGTTTATCACGCTCATTGCGACCTATTTTCAATGATTCTTCATCGTAAACGAAATCCCGGACAATGAACCTGAAAAAGCTGCTGCTGTAACATATACTGTTTGAAATTTCCTTTTTTTTGTCGGAAATTTGAGGAAATAAAAATTGGTGCTGATTAGAATAAGAAAATACAGCTACTTACTTGTTCTCTCTGCAATGTGTTTTATATTCATCGATCACTTTTTTGAACAGCGTAACAGTAAACAACATTTGCTCACCATCTTCGGTAATTAAGCGGCTCGATCCAGGCACCACCATATCGGATAATGTTTCATACTTTTGCTGCCATTCTTTTGCTAACGTTCTATTTAAAAAGAGATGCAGAAAAACATACTGTTCTATAAAGAATCCAAAATATGACAAAGTAAAACTAACTAAACTAATTCATTGGATCGGTGTTGGTCCTTTTACTAAAATTTCTATTTCTTTCTGCGAAATTAAGGAAAAAACATATGATATTGCATTTCAAATGAAACTTAGTGCCTTTCAAATTACATCGCATCCAAACAGTGATAGAGCGCTATCACTAGCGAGTGAGAATAAAAAACTAAAAGTGGAACAAAGGAGTACAACTGGAGAGGATATAAAAAAGCGGTGTACATAATAATGGAAATTCTACTTCTGAAGGGTTTGACTTAATGAAAAAGCAAACTCTTTAACGTACTTTGGTATAACCACTAGCAACGTCTGCAGATACTCTGAGTTAAGGATAAAATCACCAGCCTTCACGATTTCTGACAAATCTTTCGTTAACAAACTGCCCCTTAAAAGCACATTTGACATTCCAATGATTAAACATCAGAAATACATGAATCCATCTTTAACTTCTAAAATTAGGATCGGCATGAAAGTCGGCATTCGTTCTTGACTTTAGAAGTTAAGAGCTAATGCGATTTCCAAGACAGACCCATCTCATCCTAAACTTTGTCTTATTTTTACTTACTGCTTCCTAGGTAAGCAAAAATTAGACATAGCTTGCCAGGTCTATCATAAACACATATTACCTCCTCAGAGGCGTCAAGTACCCAAGGATAATAGACGACTGTACTGTGCTCGAAAGACAACATTCCTACTTACTATTACCTCTAATTTTTAATGGACAGTAAAAATTAAATTGTGTTTGAAACGTACGCTGCTTTCCGGTCCATTGACGCAAGACTGTTCTTGAGATTATTATAGGTTGTGGATTTCGTCTTCAAATCATTATCAATCTGGGTGATTTGCTGAAAATCAAAGCGCCATCATTTGGAAGGGGATTTAAAATTTTGACTTCGAAAAATTGATTTTACCTTTCCGATAATATCACTCAGCACTTTCAGTGATTGCTTCAGAGGGTATTTTGCACCTTCCCATTGGAACTTAGTAACATAAGTTTTCACGTCCTCTAAAAACAGAAAGATCGGATATTTCGCACACAAAATGAGATTGATGATAAACTTGGAAATTATGCAAATAATTAGAACAGCTGAATCAACAGAGAATGAGCAATTTTGTTTAGAATTCGATCACATGATCAAGTTTAAACTTACTACCACTAACGACAAGATTTTCCTGTAATTTGTCTTGCTCATCTTCCAGAACATCAGCGAAGTACTGCGTTAACTTTCGCGTCACTCTAAATCAAAAAGAGGCAGATTAGTGTAATGTAGAATTGCTGACAAAACATTAAGGAAAAACAAAAGTGAATCATACACGTACTGTTCTGCAGCAGTATCCAATTTAGCCAAGTCATCAGATAAACCAACCAACTGATCCAAAGTCCCGACCTGTAATCATAATCACCATTTAACTCATCCTGTCCCTAAAATCATTGCCAATTTCTCAAAAATTAAGCCTCTAAATGTCGAAGCATACTAAGGGAATTCCTGCCAGTTCAAGTATTTTGCTTCGAAATTCAGCAAAATTATCGTCAAAATCTGACCTCACAGAAAGACAAGCTGATACGACGATCAGCGACTTACCAAGCCTCTCTGTACCAGGTTGACTCTCTCTACTCACAATCTGTTTTTTGTCTCTCACTTGCTCAGGACATGTGAAGCGAAGAATTATCCTTTATTATTATGTTAAAAAAATATATGAAATGATCAGATGTGGAAACGAAACTTACTTTCAGATCGGGAACATTGAATTTATAGTTGACGGACATACTGCCAGTTGTCCGATTCAATTTATCCCACGTTTCCTGTGGCGAGCCCTCATTTGGTGCTGAAATCAACCACAGATCTCCTGGAGCAAAAGACATCCCACCTGTAATGATACAAGTACTCCAATCGAAAGAGGTATATAATTGGCACTGAGAAACTGATTGGACCTCATCGTTCAACAAACACTCTTCCTTTCATGCAAAAACCTTACAAACCGCGTACTTATTTTCTACCGTTAACACTTTACCATACGTCGGTCTTCCAAACAATAACCAAAGATCAAGTACGGTAGTAAGGAATCGTTATGAAAACCATTGAAAACAGCTTAACGATACCCAGTGAGTGATATTCAATGTTTTGTGTTCAGGAGCTTCTTTAGCCTAGAAATAATTCAAGTGGTCACCACATAAATAGCACTTCAGGCAAAATTTAAGTCACAAAGAAATTCCTGGCGACATGACGTCAAACCACCGATATTCACGCCCGGTGAAGTTTACAGTCGTGATTGTGTGCTTTCTCTAACCCCTTTAGCCACATTACCTAGATATACCCAGTTGAGCTACATAAAAATCAAACTATTGATTGACCACATATTTCCACTCTTCCTCTTTTCAGATAATATGATGTTTCGCGATGAAAACTAGTAGCTTGGATGTCCCATTCCTAACACCTTTACTTCATTTTTGTACAGCGTATTGTAATGGAAAACAACCAGGACCGTAAAGCAGCTTTTTTATATGCAGACAAATAAAACAAGAAATTTTTTATGCTCAACAACATGAGAAAAAACATACAGCACATTAGTATTCGGTGAGATTTTTAGCAGCCGTTCAACCTGATTTCAGGAAACAAAAGTAAACAGGAATCCTGCACTCCTTCGGATTTTTGAATAAAACATAAACAGAGCATATGTCATACAATACAGTAAACAATTTAATAGAACCAATTTTCCATTCTGATACCCGAAATAACAACAAAAAGTAAAAAAAAAAAACAATTCTGTAGATGGAACGATTTACATCGAATTGATAACGCCTCTACATAGAAAAACTGATGCAGTAACAAATCATGAACTTAACTGGAACAACCAAATATGCCTAATCATCAAACTTCATCCTTTTATTTTGGGCTGGTTCTGAACGTCCACCAAAACTTCGTTTGTTGCCAAGATCAATCCCTCGTCCTAAAACCGAATGATTCAGCCGGTTTTCAAAATTATTGATATTGCGGAGAAAAATAAGAATTTCGATATGTGATGCACCCACATCAAACAAGCATCTGTGCGTATCACAATTATTACACCATTTCTTAGCTCTTTTCATTACGAAATCGCCAAGCTTATTGCCTTAACGATAACGATTCAACATTTACCTCGCCCTCGGAAACCTCCACCAGACTCACTTCCTCGATAACCACTGCCTCGGCCACTCCAATCTCCACCTCTAACACTTCCACGACTACCGCCTCTAAAACCGCCTCGGTCTCCTCCACCACCTCGATCGCCTCTACCATTTCGACTGAATGAGCCTCCTCCACGACCTTAGACAAAAATTATAAATAAGATTAGCAATGATTAGAATTAATGAACAAACTGTAATGTGTTTTAAAAGTGAGGCTTACCACGAAATTTACTTCGACCACTGCCACCACGACCACGACCTCCTGCAACTAATATTCATTAAAACAGAGATGGAAAATCTGGCTACAGCGTAAATTCATGATTTCGAAAATTCGCATTACATTCTCCTAACTCAACGATCTACGGTAATATGCGAAATACAGCTAAAAATGTTTTAAAAGGCTAATTAAACGAACCCCGTCCATTACCACGTATTTGTCCTTTCCCTCGTTTACCTGCACCATTTGGCAAAAATCGGTCAATAGGCAATAGTCTTCCTGAATCAATGTACAACTTCTGTGCTTCTTTGAAAGAGGAAGCTTTGATACCATCTTGCAGTTTCACGGTGAATCCCTACAACATCGTTCTATTTAACTTGAGAAACTCGGAAAAAACATAGATTCATACCCACCCTAACACGATATATCCTCACCAGTCTATAATAATTCCAATAATCAGGATCAGCAAGACTACGAGTCACCTGGCACAATGCTGTATCTGTTGGTGGTAATTACCGCATAACAAAAATGAAGTTGGACAAGGTTGTATATGGAAGAACTAAAGGAAGTTTATAAAACCGCCACAGTATTCTGCTGCATATAACCGATAATAAGTCTATTAATGTTTCGGAAAAATTTAAAAAACTGAAAAAATAGGAAGGTCCCCTCAATGCAAATTTAAGTAGCTCTTGTTATTGTTCACCGGTAATCATCCACTCCGAATGTTAATACATGAATAGATACAAGTCTGAATGTTAAGATGCATTAACGAAATTTGATAAATAAATGACATACATACGTTGTTTTTAATACCACCAAAGATCTCATCAACTTTGCCAATCTGCTCTTTGTTTTCGAAAAATATCGGAGCGTTGAAGTAGGGAATTTTGCCTGATGTGTTATGACAAACGATATCATCTTCACATGTGTGCGTGAAATACCCTATTTCTATAAAGAAAAGTATTGTTTGAACAAGCAGTCTCATGTTATCATTCACGTGATTCCTCTAGGGACTTTTCGTGACTTATAATGATAGAAAATACACCCTGATACAATCAGAGCAAGTTATTATCAACTAGGCGAAGTAAGGATGTCAGTGACAGTTTCCTTTTTTCGCTATTGGTGACATATCAAACCGTTCCATATGTTTCAACATACTCGTTAATGGTAAACGATTTGAGCTATTCGCTAGCCATGATGAAAGAGATATTTACCAGTCACTTGTTCCGGAGGACCTTGATCATAGCCAGCATTGCGGTTAATTCCTCCTCGATTTCCTCTGCGTCCGCCATGTCCTGAATTCCCAAATCCTCGACCACCACTTCGACCTCGAAACGACATTTTCTGTAGTAGAACATGAAATAAATTTTGCAAATCAAAAGAAATGTTACGGGAAAATTCAACAGGCATCGAACTGCATTGAAAATTCAACAAATACTGAGCCGAAGAATACTTTCGCTGTAACTTATTGTAAGCACTGCATAAACAAGAACAAAACTTTAAACTGTTCGCATAACAAACCATATGCTTTACAAACTGTGAACAAAACAGATGATAAACAAAGAAACACGGAAATAAGGAATTTCTCCCGAAATGAGATCCACTCCCCTGAAAATCAGCCTCATTAATATGAATTAGCGAAAATTATTACCATGAATCAAAGGATTGTCAGTCGCGACACCAATCTCCCGCTCTAACCCCCGTCCCCCCAATGTCTTTTCCCCTTAGTAGTCATCTTATTGTCAGTTGCATCTCCGCGAAAATGTGTCGCAGGAAGCGCGACATGACTGCTTTTCGTCCCACGAGTCCTCGTTGACCTGGTTACCTATAATGATGTTTGACAGGCTTCGATGTGATGGGAAGGGACAACTGCTCCTTCGTCATTCTCTAAAGGGCCTTTTCATCCCGAAGGCGTCATTTGGTAAGGAATAGACGATGTGTGTCACTAAGGTCGGTATAAAAATTGCAAATTTGCACCTGAAGTTGGGAGGCATGTACGGACAGTCAGTGGACCCGTGAAATCCCGACAACCACGTGAGCAGTACCTGCTTGATGCAGTGGTATGCTTACATCGCCGTTCTCCTTCCTTCTGAATATGGTGATTGATAATTAAATATGAATTCAAAGTGGAAGGGTATGAACTTGAAATACGTTTTTTCTCAGCAGATTAATATCTAACTGATATATGGCAGTCGTGTCATTGTCGACAAATAACTAATCCAGTGGATTTCCCGCATTATACATTGGATTTGAATTGGTTTCGAAAAAAGTAAGCATCCATATGCAAAGCTCAAAATGACATCCATTCCACAACGTCTCAGCGCGTCAAGCTCCCCACTCCAAGAAATTCAGCAACCTTCAGCTCCTGTCGTCAGTAGCAATGAATCAACCAGTAGATTGAGGCGTAACAAACCTCGTGGTTAGTTTTTTCTAAAGTTTTATTTTTTCCATCTTACTGGGTTTATTGAGTTAACTTATTTTTAAGCAATCTTTAATATCCCATCCGTGAACTAAAAATTATCAGAACGTCGTGTTGTGTTGTTTAGCACTCACTGATTAAGTAGCTGGAGATACCTGAGCTGTACAGTGTGGTGAGGGTAATGGTACTCATGATCTACTCTAAGATGACCGAACGATATCTTTTCTGTATCAGTAAGTGAGCTGAAGCGTGCGTAAACATTTAATTTGATATTTTAACCATCTTTTTTTTCCATAAAAGTAGAATTTTGTGGGCATATCACTATTTGTTTCCAGATTGAATTTTCTGTAAAACAGAGTAATAACATACACGATAAAGAGATATTTTATTAGGCGAGGAAACTTTAAAAGAAGAGAATGAAAAAGGCAATGAGGAGTAGCAGTCTGTAAGAGAGACATAGTTGGCTGAAACTATATAACTGTAAATGATATTTAATACATACTTACTTTCCGTGAACATTTCGTATTGCATTCATCGTAGCTTCATCGAACTTTCAACTAATAAATTTTGAAATTCCTAATGGTTTCAAAGATTAGGGGTTTAAATAGGAGCTTACCAGCGGCATGGGTGTTTTTACAGTTATAAAATTCAAAGTCACATTACCGTCTCAATTATCGAAACACAAGCTTTTTAAATATATAAAAGCAGTGTTTTGACAGTACAGTGAGGTTTATGTTGTGCAGTTCTGCCTGACAGAGAGGAACTACTGTTACTGTATTCCGAAATTGATAGTGCATGTTAGAGAGGATTTATTCAGCTAAATACATTGCCTTGTTGACTTGGATTTCGGTTACGCTTCACTTGTGCAATGTTTTTGAAAGGAAAATGTCAGGTTGAGAAGCAAAATTTCTCTAGTAAATTAATCAACTCTTTAGCTTCGTAATTTCATATTCCAGTATGTAGTTGATGGAACAATTTGCAGATACAAAGCTTCGTCAACAAAAATTACCTGCATGGCAGCCCATACTAACTGCATCAACAGTCATACCAACAGTTTTTGGAATTGGCATTATTTTTCTACCTATTGGTGTCGCTTTATTCTTAGCTAGTCAAGGAGGCAAGACATTATATTAATTTGGTTTTGTTCACATGTAATATGATTTATTGTCATAGGGTTGCTCTTCGATTGTATTCACTTTCTAAGAAAGAGGTAAGTTGGCAGTCACAAAACTGAAAAAGGAATAATCGCTAGTTCCTAATCCTACTATCCTTAGGTGCAGAGACTATTTTATAATTCGTGAAAGACCTGGAAATATCAGATACACATTCCGCGGGTTGAAATTAATATTATTATAGTGAAAGAGTCGATCACAGATTATACATCGTGCAGTGCACCTTCACTTGAAGCTTGTGAATTTGTGATTAAGTTGAATAGCGATTTTCAGGTTTACAATTTTTTCCATTACCTATTTTAGTGATTGCTTTGACTGTGAACTTGCTTGATTGATATACAGTTTTGTCTTGAAAATAAATTCCAGGGTGATGTTTATTTTTATTATGCATTGGATAATTACTTTCAAAATCATCGGCGGTATATGAAAAGTCGCAGCGATAGCCAGCTTTTGGGCGACCTTCAGGCAGGCATTCTTTGTAGCTTGAACTATGACATGAAAAAGCACAGAAATTAGTGCAATTTTTTTCAATGCAGAGTTAAGAAGTACGAAAGTGCTGTGAGATTTCAGAATGTGGGCGATTGTGAGCCATACGCATATTTGAACACGTCATCAGGCTTACAAATTATTGCTCCATGTGGTGCAGTTGCCAATTCTATGTTTAATGGTTAGGAAAGTAGTCCGAACGTTTTATTGCGTTTCTTTTTTAAAAGTCAATTGTCGCAACTTCTTTTTGGGTTCACAAAGATTTCAGATTCGTTCACTTTGTATCGTAATGGCAGTGGTGATCCGGTGCCTTGGACATATAAAGGTGTTGTTTGGCCGGTTGATAAGAACAGAAGATATAGGAATCCACCTGGAAATCTTCGGCAGGCTTTTGAGGTAGGTTTTTTTCTTCTAGAGAAATATTTCTAATGAAAAAGCTGAGTCAGATCAAATGAAAGTGCGACATTTTGCCAGAGCTGACAGCTGTATAATTTCGTTGGATATAATTTAAAATCCATGTTCTCTTCATATTTATATCGTAATGTGTTTGCATACTTGGGTAATTTCAGAATACTGTGAAACCTCCTAACTGGCGAAAGGCAATATACGAATTAGACCCAGATGATCCAGATAATAATGGCTTTTTAAATACCGATTTTATTGTATGGATGAGGACAGCAGCTCTACCAGATTTTAGGAAATTGTATCGTATTTTAGTTCGTTATAAGAACTCATTGTATAAAAATGGCTTGCCTGCTGGAACATATCAGCTCGTAATCCAAAGTAGTGAGTTATTTTCGACATGGAAGATTTTACTTTGTAAAAACTGGAAATATTGCATCATTAGACACATGAGAATCATATTAAAATATTGCAGTCAGGTAGCACTTTAATATTTCCTATCTAACTCTATCTTTTTTTTGGCTCTGCAACTATTTTATAGTTATCCTGTCGGAAAATAGGTAGTGATTACTCGAACTTAATGCACTAACGCAATGCAGAGTACCACATGGGTGTGTTTGAAGCATTAACAACTTGAGTATCTTTCGTTTTTGTTGTTACCACCATTTATGAGTTGCCAGTGTTTGGTTTTGTAAAGAAGTACATTAATTGATTCTTCATAATGCTTTGATTTTACTCGAATTATTTCTATCAAGATGTCGGGACGCTGACTGTTTTGATTGCCCTTTAATCTACTGGATAATTGTGTTCTTTCCTTTGTTAAATATCAAGTCTCTTTCTTTCCTTCGCGATCCAATACAAAGTTCATTTCAGATTACCCAGTAACAGTGTTTGGTGGTAGGAAATATTTTATAATAAGTACAACATCTTGGGCAGGTGGCAAAAATGCATTTTTGGGTATTGCATACATCATCGTTAGTGGCATTTGTATCCTGTTTGGTGCAGTTTTCCTGATAATACATCTAAAATTCGGCACATCGTAAGTTTTTTGTTGCCAAAAATTTTTATATATATATTACTCAAAACTTGCGCCTTCAAAAAGCGGACGATTCATTCATTACTCTTCTCTCCATTCTTTTTCGACAAACATATCTGGAATGAACATAACTTTTACAGATCAAATGAAGCTGGGAGCATCTCTCAAGTCTCACGGTAGTTTCAGTTATTCTGATTTTTCACCTTTGTATTTATTGTCATCAAAAAAAACCATCTGTTCCATGTTCCATTTACTGCGAACTACTCGAAATAAAAGATCTTCCATGCAAAATTCTTCGAATAGTTGTAATAAAATGCGCTGAATAAGATATCACTAGTTGTAATAAGTCCATAGTGCGGGCAGTTAGGTAAATTAAACTAGTCACTGCCGTATAAAGCCCCACCGGTTCATGACAAAGAAAGTAAGTTTTTTTTTCCTTCCTTTTCGTTTTCACAATTTTTCTCTTCCCTTTGATTATGACATAGGAAGCATACTTATTTTCTGAATTGAGTCGAATTCTGCTCCGTACTTTTTCTTTGAGTGTAGCTGAGTTATTTTTTAGCCGCATTCATGTCTTCGAGTTTTTTGCATTAAATACTGAAATTTTGCGTGAATTTCTCTTGCCGCTTTCAAACTACTAAATGCTAAAATTTGAATTTGTAAAAATCATTTCCGTACTGTGATCAGTGCATTTTTGTAATTTTTTATGTTTTGTATTTACGCTTATCAAGTTATGACTTTTCCAGAAATTATGTGATGACAGCAATGAAGTGTGCTTCATTCCAAACCCAATTGTTTTTTTATTTTGTATCGAAATGGGAGTTTTCTCCACTCGCCTTTTTCTTCTATTTCATGCGGTGCATTCATATAGAAGCTCTTTACCATATATCTTCATTCATTCGTGAAATTGTTATTGAATGATACTATGCATGGACGCAATATTTGATTGAAGCAAAAAAGGTGTTATTTATTCTCAAGATATATCACCACCAGATTGTGACAATGCCAATCGTTTAGGACGTCTTTTCAGAATTTTAAGGATATTTGAAAGGCATGCAGTGTAAACAAAAAGTACTGAATTACCTGTAGCACTTCTCCTTTCAGATGATTTTATCATTAGGTGCGTAGAGCAATCCTTTTCTAATTCAATCAAGAAAACCGTCACGGTCTATTTTACTTATCATTAAGATGTTTATGATCCATGGCGTTGGTTCTTTAGGCTCATAATTTTTAATCTTTTACCTTGGCAAAGATGGTTCAGGAATCAGTCATACTTTCAAACTAAAAGATGACGTCAGCTTTGTACTGATGAAGACCAAAGACTTTCTGACTCGTTAAGATTGAGCTTGAGAAGAATGACTAATTTCGGAATTAGCTATTTCAAAATTGTTAATTTCGTTAAGAATAGTCGAGCGATATTGCAGAGTGTCCCTTCCTTTGAAAAAAGATCTTGAAAGGGCAGGACGACAGTTAGGTTCTGCATAGTTGTCTATCGTTATATTCAAGTCAGGCTTTGGACGCTTTAAGTCCGTGTTTTAAATCTTAACGACTGAATTGCTACAACTGCAACTGACTACGTTCGCGGTGAGATCGCACTTTAAAAATGTTTTATGACTAATTTTAACAGCTGTTCAACGACGAAGAGTAAAGGACATCGAATTCAGATAACAATGCGGTAACTTCACATGCAATTACGAAGGGAACCTAATGATCACAGGCTGTGCTTTCATCGGTTTCTTCATTCTCTAACAGTTTGATAACCACCTTGGCAGCTTCCATAAATAGTTTCTGAATGACCGATTCTACATTTTCCTCACCTGTTGCTTCTTTTGAGTGTTCAGGTTCTTCATTGCTCAGTTCTGGCTCTTTGGGAATTTCCTGAGAGCCTTTTCTACAGCTTTCCCAAGCGGTTTCTTCCAAGACCTCTTCACATTGCTTGATGGCTGATGCTGTTACAGGATCAATGGCATAGTCACAATCACCCAGCTGATCTGACACACTTTCTGTGTCGTCTTCCATCAAATTATCATACGGCGCAGCAGCCAAAGATCCTTCGTCCTAAAATACGAATGTAGCCAAAGACTACCAGAATCATTTTGTTTGAAATTTAATAATGGAAAGGCGAAAAAATTCGCGAACTTTCAGATCGTTTTTGGTCAACATGACTAGTAGAGTACATGGGAAAGCTAGGATTCGGAGCTTTTCAGGCAAGTTTTGTAAGTTTTTTTATATCGTGAGAAATTATTATGCCTGATCAAATGAAAATTCAAGATAGCTTTGCATATAAAAACTATAGTAATGTAATGGAAAACTAATGCGGTAGAAGTCAGCTAATCTGACCTAAAGCGGCAAAACTTTCCGTTTATCTCCAACAACTGTACGTCACTAATGCATCACTTGGTTTTATAAACTATTGACAGTTACTATGTTCTTCATATGGCGGCCGACATGTTATTCCAGCTGAAACTAACGCTTGATGTTGTTTAAATAAGATACTTTGCTACAGAAAAACAAAGTATTTGTTCTTTGGGAAATTTAAATAAAATATTATTTGATGTGACAGTACCGGTTATCTTTAAATGAAGATGATTTGGCATGAAGGGCTCGGTTGGTTTCTAGTATTTTTTAGAACGGAAAATTTTTCCCTGTATTCGTAATGATGGATTTGACGATCAAAAAAAAATATAAATCCAGAACAAATATAAAGCAAATATATATATAATAAATATTGAAAAGCAAATAAATATAAATCCAAAGAATAAATATAAGCCAAAAATAAATAAATATAAAGAAGAATAAATATGAAAAGAATAAATATAAAAGATATAGCTGTCAATTAGATTTATGCAAAATTTTGTATACTTCGTTGGGATCCCGCACCTAAAACTGTTACAATCTACATATTGCCAGAAACTAAGTTTATAGCAACAAAAGTTTACATGTACTAGGGTTTTGCTTCGTCAAATCCAAAAACTGTCAGCTGGTACGCAGACCTGCAGTGTGTTATAACGATCTAACAATTAACATCTAATATTTAGTTGCTGGATATAAAAAAAACAGACTCCAATAGTTTGTCCTTAACAATCCTACTTCTAATACCTGATGATGTCAAAAAAAACGAGGAATTGCTGAGAATTATATATTAAACAACAGACTACTAATATGGGTATAATCGACCTGCGAATAAGTATTTACTGCGCGTCACACTTTAAACTTGGGAAAATTAACCGTTTTTCCAAAGATTTTAGTGGAATATATTACGACATTTAAAGCGTGTACGACCATCGTCAAAGAATGGTGTATGGAAGTAAATTGAGATGATGGCATAACTCTTTCATCGAAAACAAAATAATGAAGACTGAGTTCATCGTTAAAGTGAATGATTCAGGAAATTCTTTCAGTGAGTTCGGGTTTCTGGATCTGTGCATTACTTAGATAATTATTTGACTCGGAATTTACGTGGCTTACCAAGAAACCTCTTCCACATACACCTTTGTTTTCTTAGTTTCATGGTACGTATTTTGACCATAAAATAAAACCAATAGGAATAGGAAACGGCTTTGGGACAATTGCTTCGAGAAAAATCGGTGAGGAACGAAACATCTCTCCATGTAAAAGATGTGAAAGTTACTGTGTTCGACATCGAGCCTAATTTGAATTTGGTCCAGTCCATAAAACATAGAAAATGATATGAGAAATTTCAACTGATTTGATTATTCTTGTACATTTGTCATCCTGATTTAGGAATAAACTGATGAAGAATAGTCAACATTTGCTGAATAACCAGATTGTCTTACAAGAAATTACGATAAATAGTAACTACGGAATCAAGCAACGATTTCAATTATTCCTCCTTGCGAAATATAGTTCACTTTTAGCTATAAGCCAAAGATGTATGGAACTGTTCGCACAAAAAGGTTCCAGATTTCATTAACAAAGTGTCATACCTTGCTAAGATGACGGAATCACATACATCTAAATTATCGCTTTGGAAACTCCAACAGGTCAACGATCCTCAAAATATGAGTATAGCCTTGCACAATGTTCATTCCTTATTTTAATTAATAATTTCATCTCTTTTGAGCATTAAATGAAGAAACCTCGGGCAATATGCCATCCATAATCTTCGCAACTGTTTCACCGCATGAATTTACTTCATCCTGAACAGCATCCATCAAACGAAGTCGAAGTAAGCCAATGATATCAACCAAATCACTACGTTTTTTCTCTCGAATATCAGCTTCTTGTTTAGACATTTATTCACTGGCAACGTGATACTTTCTGTAACATGAATAGCGGAAACAGACCTTTCTACGAGGTGTGATCTTCATATACATTTAACTGATACAACAAGTTGTCTTGAATTCTCGCTCATGCTACCTACCTATAATAATCGATCGAAATTGCACCTGGGAAATCCTTACTAGCTTACAGGAAACCAAATCATCAATGTCCTGCTATCCACATCTCTGCCCATCCTGCATCCACCCATCCCGTTCCATTCGCATCACCCTCGTATTATTAAGCAATTCCATATAACCTCTCTCTACTCGCTATTCAAATTTGGCACGTCAACATAACGTATGATTCACATGAGTTCGTGGACTCAGAACTGCACGTAAAAAACAATGAAAACAATTGCACGACAACTGCACATGTTCCGTTAGAGTCTTGTTTGAAAAGTCTTTGAGGATGAGATGAGTGAGTGGAGATTGATGCATGGTGAGGGACGAACGCAGAGTGCCATTCCAGGGTAATGGATCTAGGAGCATGGCGGACGGCTCATCAAGACTGTCGCGACTTTTTTTCGGTAATTTTTCAATTAAATATAGTAAAATAATTAATGTCCACATAAAAACTAATTTATGGTGATATTTCGAATGAGTTTTTCGATAGCCTGCGAACTTTACCTGTAGATGGATTATTTTGGTTGACAAAGAATAGTGGGGAGAAACCAGGAGAAAAGGAAAGTAGAAAGTTAAGGCGGCAGTACTGGAAGTTATTACCTTCTCAGGAAGAGCAAGAAAGGGCGGGAGTACTAAAAGTTACTGTCTCCTCCAAACTCTGAAGCTAAAAAAATGAACTGATTGGAGATTCTTTTGCCTTACACAACTGTTTTCAGGGTTCTTCTTTCTGGAAGTTTCATCTCGATATTAATATTAATAAGCTTGCTGTTACTGCATCTACCCGTTTCTTCCATCTGGAAATCACACGACTGATTGCAAACGGTGCTTCGACTACAATATATTCCGTGAACAGTGATTGGTGTTACCTGCTAACTGCGTGTTATTTTGCTTTCCTCTCTCCGGGTATCAGTCTATTAGATCTTGCTGGATACCACTATTTTGTACCAATAGAATCTTCATAGAAATTTTAGTTTTCATGTATACGCATATGGCTTTCGTTTATATATATATATATATATACATATATATATATGTAAAGACTTTACATCTGAATAGATGTTTCGAGGAGAAGCCTCTAAGAAACATTTCGGATTTATGACGCTCCAAACGAAAATTTGTCAAAAGTTTAGCGGTGGGCGTCGTGAAATTTCAAGCCATGGTGCAGCATCTTTGTAAACATCAAAGAAGCAGTCAACACGTTGCTGGATTCTATTTAAATAGGTTGAAGTAGTCCACAGCAATTACCTGAGCAAGTGGATCGAAAAGGGAAATTTGAATGACATTGATACATAGATGTGCGCAAAAGAATGATCGGTACCGACTTTGTTAGGTAATTTTCTCATTTAATAGACAGTTGCGGTCAGATCCCTCCTCCAGTTCCTGAAGTTTTAAGATAAAAGCTAAATATTACAACACTGCAATATTATTTAAAACTGTAACAATAGTGAATGGTTATGTAAAAAGCGGTTTTGGGTGTTCAAAGACTGGACAGGAATACTTTGTTACACAGGTTAACACCAAGAAGGTTATACTGAGAGTAATTATAATGATAAAAAAGGAAATCTGGTAAATTTCATTTTTAACGGAACTGTTCTCAAATTGAACAGCCCATAATAACTTTGAAGCTCCAGTCTATGCAGCAAATGAGATCAAGGATATATTACATGACCAGATCTCAACCTGAGTTCATCTCAATCCGTTGTACGCATAGTGCGGATTTCCGAATGGATAAATTCGTTCGTCCCTTTTACATATAACTGCGATATAGTTTCGGCGCACTCGCTTTCCAAAACTTCATTTAAAGTTACACATCGTGGGTGGTCTCCAGCACAGAGCAGCGTTGACAATGCGAAGACCACCAAAGATGTTCGCTGCAGCAATTAGATATGTTGCCGGATATCTTTAATATTTTATCACTGCAGACGATAACCTTCATGGGCGGTAAAAATGCTTTGTATAATGCTTTGCCGAATATAAATTTCGCAAAGAACCGTAGAGTGAGTGGCGCGTTGGTAATTTTTGAAAAGTGCTGAGATCTATTGGATCGAATTTGACCAAAAAAGGAATTGGTACTATGTTTTCACTCAAGTTTACATGATTTTTTGGGAACCGATGCTTATCGTGAATAGTCCGTATAGGAAGCTATTCAAACTTGAGTATGGACATTTCCTCGCCGCGATTTTTTGCCACTATAACGAATATCAATTACTTGAATGATTAATGGGTTGGAAAATTCAGCAATGCACACTTTTGGCTAGATCAGATAACTGAAGGTTAGGAAGAGATTGAGCTGCCTCAGTAAAACAGTACTTCTCGCGAGGAAATCCAAGTAATTCTCATCTTTTACAAGAAGTAAGTTTCGTCAGTGACTGAAAAAAAGAGCCAAAAATATAACCATATGAACAAAATCCATCGTTTTTTTCCAAATATATTTCGATTAGCCATAGAAAAATATTTTTTTATGGCTTAAAGTTTATAATGGTTAATCTGAATTAAGTTAACGCCTACATCGCTTTCCAACAATTACATTTATTTTTTCGGGAACGAAATATAGAAAGACGAAAGTCGGAACAGAAGTAGAATGACTGGACTCATGATCTTACTTAAGTCTCACAAAACAATTGAGTCCAGCAACTTTTTATTATTCCTCTAATAAATTGCTCTTATATATATATATATATATATATATATATATATATATATATATATATATATATAT